GCCTGTTCCAGTGCTCTGTCACCCTCAAAGTATCACAGATACAGTTGCACACTAAGTTTCATGTGGCACCACTCAAGGTACCAACTGAAATGTGTGTAAGAATGCAATTTTCTCTCCTTACATACCCCTTCAAAACATTAGCTAGGCACTCAAATTAGACTAGGGCCATTTAATAAACATAAAACAACTAACATGATTTACTCACACCCTCCTAAATACGAGTCTTAAAGAATGCAGCAGTCATGCCTTTTTTGTCATTTACTTCACTTTATACCCAACACCAGCGCCCGCTCATTTCAACACATCAAGACAGCTTTCATTCACATTCCAATCTAAGAAAACATTCAATAAGCTACTAATGTTTATATAGATGAAAGTTAGGACAAAAACATTCTTAAGAGAAGCACGGAAACACACGCAAGTATCAGAACTTATTTATCCCCTAGGATTTTACTACTTCAAATAACAAGAAAATGGGAATGTTACTTTTTAAGAGTACCACCTCAGCAAGGAAACACAAAGCAGAGCTAAAGTGAGACTACTTCTGTGCACTCGGTAGTAAGCTTTATACACCTGCCATGTAGTATACTTCAGAAATTGATTCTGCTTGAACATACAGTTTAAAATGTTGTTTGCAAGAGCAGTAATCTTACAAGACCCACAAAAGAAAAAATAACCCACACACCCAAACCCCACTACTATACATTCAAAAGTACCTGAATTTTTATTGTGCTTTCCTTAATTTTGTGAAACCTCTTCTTTTCGATGAATCCTCTGACTCTAGCCTGCACAATGATAATGTTCCTCCGGGTCTGCAAGTAAGTCATTCTTTGGTATTTCACAGCCAAGTGGGATCGGTAGCATCGTTGTAAGACAACTGCTGCTTTTTTATAGCTTGTATACTGTGATTTAGTTTTACGCATTAAGTAATAGGCTCGTAACGTAATAGCTGCTGTTCTAATTTGAATAAATTTTCTACGCTGCACAGCCATCTGAAGAAATGACTGAATCTTTCTTGCAGCTCGTATGCGTCTCGCTATTTTTCTTGCTTTCATACCACGGAAGGCAGACTGAATAATTACTACTGCTTGTCTTCGAGCAGAATACTCTGCTTTCTGTAAACGAGCCCTGTGACATGCTCTGTACCACCTCTGAATAGCAACTGCTGAACTCCGAATCAATGTATAGCGAGTCCTTGTTCTTTGGCATCGGAACATAGACTGGATCGCTATTGCTGCTGCTTTCTTTTCAAGAAAACGCCTCCTCTCCATGCACATTTGTAAGAACGATTGTATGCACCGTGCAGCAACCATGGTTTTATACAACTGCCTAGCTTTTTTAGCACGAAAAGAGGATTGAAGGCAAATGACAGCCTTTTTTATTTTTGCATAGTTTTCCATGTCAGCTTCTTTTGCCATTTTGGCTCTGAACCTTTGCTGTGTAACTCTGACAGCCCAGCACAACTGTTTGTAATATCTACGTTGTATGTACGTGCGATAACTAGACTGTATTACAATTGCTGAAACATGCATGATTTTCAGCTTCTGTCGTTCCTTCATGCCTCTATATGATGCTTGAATAACAAGAGCAGAATTCTTCATTGCCAGATATTTCTTCCGTTGTTTCTTTCCTTTAACGTAGGATCGATAGTGGTTCTGTATAACAATAGCTGCAATTCTCATATTCTGATAGGACCTTCTGTTCCTGTGCATTTTGTAGGCTGACTGTATTGTACTAGCAGCTAAATGCATACACTCAATACTCTTCCGCACTCTCATACCTCTGTACACAGCCTGTATGTGAATAGTTGCTCTGCGAAGAGAAAGATACTCCAAAGTATGCTGTCTTGACAGAACCAAAGCTCTGTATCTTCTCTGAAAGACAAGAGTAGCTGCTTTAAGGGAGAGATATCTTTGACGTCCTCTAAAAGCCTTAAAGTTTTTCTGAACAACAATAGCAGCGCAGTGCATTTCTCGATGTCGTTTTTTTGCTTGCATGTCTCGAAACGCCTTCTGGATACAAATTGCTGCTTTCTTTAATGAAGAGTAACGCTGTACTGCAATTTTCTTCAGGTTACGCGCTCTTAATGTTGCTTGAATAACTGTAGCAGCTTGATGCATCTGCTGGATTTTTTTTCTTACCACAAAGCCTCTATAGACAGACTGTATGGTAACAGCAGCACTGAGGAGAGAGAGATACTTCTGACGTTGAATTTTTGCTAGTTTTGTTGCTCTGTATTTTCTCTGAATTACAATAGCAGCTGCCCTAACGGAAAGAAAATATTTTCTTTTGAGAAAAGTTCTAAATCTTCTCTGAATACACTCAGCTGATTCACTCATTGTTCTTAGAAGTCTTCTTGTTTTCATACCACGGAAGGCAGCCTGGATACAAAGTGTAGCATTTTTCACAATCATATAGTTGTGAACTTGTGTATCTCGTGCCTTACAAGCACGGAACCACTGCTGAATCTGCCTAGTTGCCAGCAACAGTTTTCTGAAATCCCTCTGTTGTTTGTGCATGCGATAATAAGACTGTATTATTGCTGCTGATTGATGCATGGTTTTTAAGTCTTGTCGGACCTTCGTGCCTCTACAGGCAGCCTGAAGAATAATGATAGACTTCTTTAGCTCCAAGTACTTTTTACGTTGTTCTTTGCCTAAACAAAATGCTCTATATTGTCTTTGAATTATAATTGCTGCCATTCTCATTGCCTGGTATTTTATGTTCATGCGATGCATCTTAAATGTGGCTTGGATACAAATAGCTGCTTGATGCATACAGTGAATTTGTCGTCTGACTCTTACACCTCTGTAAGTCGCCTGCATTTGGACTGTGGCTTTTTCTAAAGACAAATATTTCTGCTTTTGATGTTTAGCATGATTAATTGCACGATAATGCCTTTGAACTACTGTAGCTGCAGATCGAAGCCTTTCATAGTCCTTTTTGATCAGGTAAGATTTGAAAGCAGCTTGTATAGTTGTAGCAGCTTTGTTTAGTTTGCTCAGTTGTTTCCTCACAGTCATCCCACGATAAGCAGACTGCAAGACTAAGACTGCTGCCTTTACTTTTAGATAAATTGCACGCTGCTTTTTTTTCGTACAGTAAGCTCTGAAGTATTTCTGAATCACTAGAGTAGCCTGTCTCAGTTTCTTATATTTTAGTTGATTTACATGCATTCTGTAATAGGACTGAATAATTGTTGCAAGATTATGTTTCTTTTGAATTGTTTTTCTCACAGTTTTCCCCCTCCATATTGCCTGAAGACGCACTGCAGACTTACGCAGCCGAACATATTCTTGCTGTTGTTTCTGGCCTATAACACTGGCTCTGTAATGCTTTTGGATAGTTAGCACAGCACGGTTCATAAGTCTGAATTTTTTCAGAGCCATGAATTTTCTGAAGGCAGACTGTATCTTAGTAGCAGCAGCACACTGTCTTTGAATCTGCTTTCGTACCTTCCAGCCACGAAAAGCTGCTTGTAAAGAAATCACTGCCGCTCTTGTCATTAAGAAGTTCAGTCTTTGCCTGTTACCAGTCTTGGAAGCTCTGTACCACCTCTGAATCACAATGGAGGCCTGAACCATTGTCATATATTTCATTCTTGCAGCATGAGCTCTAAAAGCAGTCTGAATTTTAATAGCAGCTCTATATTCAAGTTCAAGCTTTTTGCGTGCTTTATAACCCCTGTAGGCTGCTTGTAAGCACACAGCTGCTTTTTTAACTTGTAAGAACTCCTGCCTCTGACACAGCTGCTTTTTGTATGCACGATAATGTTTTTGAATAACAACAGCAGCACTATAGATGCTTAAATAGCATGTCCTGTCCCTTCTCATTCTGTAGCGTGCCTGGAGAAAGACTGCAGTCTCCCTCCACCTTTGTATTTGTTTCCTGACAAGATAGCCTCGAACTGCAGCTTGAATTCTTATGCAAGCTCCCTTCAATTTCCTATAATCTTCTTTAAGTTGAAGAGCAGATCTACGAGACCGATACCTTCGCTGGACATAAAGTGTTGCCTCTCTTAATGCACAATAATGCTTATGTGCTTGCCTCATCTTTACAAAAGCTTGAATCTTCACTGTTGCATCTTTTAAGTTTTTAAATCTCTTCTGGATAATATAAGCACGGTAACTTGACTGAATTTTTATCACAGATCTCAACATGCGAGCCTCTTTCCTAGCTTCCATCCCTCTGTAGGCAGACTGTAGGACAATAGCAGCCAGGCGCATCCTCTGGAAAGAAGCAGCTGCTTTTTTAGAAGCGACATGTGACCTATACCAAGTTTGAATTACAGAAGCTGCATTTTTAATCTCTTTGTATCTTTTTACTTGTTGGTATCTTCTCACATGTGACTGCAATGTAGTAACAGAGTTTTTTAATCGTAGGAATCTTAGTTTCTCTTTTTTCATTCTCCACATTGATTGAACAAGACAAGCTGCTTTTGTTTGCCTGAATAGTTTTCGTGCCCTCATGCCTCTAAAAGCAGCTTGGAGAACTATCACTGCTGCACGCTTTTGCAAATAGTACTCTCTCTCAATTTTTCCTAGTTTATAAGCTCTGTAATACTGCTGGATTGCCACTATTTTTGCCCTGTGTTCCTGGTAAATATGTCTAGCCAGCTGACACCTGTACCAAGCCTGAATCTTGATAACACTTTGCTTAATACGTAGATACTGCTTCAGCTCTCTGTGCATCCTATACCAAGACTGAATGACAAGGGTAGCCTTCTTTCTTTTAGCCAGTTTTGAAGACTGCCACTTTCGGAAATAAGTCTGAAGCACTAAAGTTGCTTTAATTTGCTGTTGAATTTTGTATTTTCTCCATCTTCTGAATGCAGACTGAATAATAAGTGCTGAAGACTTTAAGATTTCATATCTTTGCCGGTCTTTTTTTGCCAACTTCGATGCACGCAGATGAGACTGAATTGTAACAGTGGCCCAAAGGATTCGTTTATATGCAGCAACAGACTTCACCATCCTTATCCTTGCTTGTACAAAGATAACATAGTATCTTAGTCGTAAATATCTTTTCCTAGCGGAGTATCTTCTCCAATAAGCCTGCAGGAAAAAGCAGAAAATTTACTATTTTCTTCACGGTATCTCGAGTTAAGCCTGAATTTGAAAACTTACCAACTTCAGACTTTTTAAGATTTCTTTGTTCCTACTTAATCCTTAAGGAAGATAAAACCAGATTATCTACATTAAAAAAACCCCAAAAGCTTGAATCGTTGGGTTTTTAAGCATTTTAAAATCCAGGGAAAAGCTAAATTTGCCCTGGCAACAAAATATTCCCTTTTGAACTATTTGATAAATCAATGATTCTTTAATCTCCATTCCAAAAAAGTCTTAAGAACATAATATTTAGCTTTGGGTAATAGTGGGGAAAGTACCTTGAGAAACTGAATTAACTGCCCAACTACCAATCGGTAACTAATATCTGCCATTCTGAACGTACCCACCACAGATTTCATAACACTAGGACAGTAATTTTTATTTTTATTTAAAGCTTCTTAAATAATGTTCAGCAACTGCAAAGCAGCAAACCAACACAATCTGATCAGTCCTTACATTGACTTGGTTTGAAGTCCAGTGTTTTAACGTTCATGGCATACCAAAATTTCACTACTTGCCAATTTAATAGCTCATTACCATTTCTCTCTGAAGAAAGCTACCAAAACACTTCAAAAGGCCGGGGCGGGGAGGCGGAAGTATTACATTTTTATGAAGACATCAGTTGCTACAAGCAGCAGACCAAATGACCGTGAGCAAGCTTTTTTCTTACAGGTTTCAGAAGGCTTCCTTCCTCTGTAAGCTCACTTTAGATCACATTACCTGAATGACTGTGGCAGATTTACTTCTGGCTTCCTCCATTTTTGTCTTTTTCAAGTTTAAAAAGTTCGTCCTGGCTAAGTATCTTCTCCAGTGCTTCTGGATGCAAACTGCTGCATTCACTTTCTTCAGGATGCGTCGACGAGACAAGAAGTTAACTGCAGATTTTTGAATTATCCGAGCAGCTCTGTCTCTCTCCTGCAAAGAGTGAATTTCCACTGAACAGTTAGTATTGAAATTTTCACTCAAAATTTTTGATGTATTAAAAAACTGTCTAAAGCAATCTCATAAGAATTAGGCTTGTTGATGAAAAAAACCTACATAAATATAACCTCTGCCCCTTTCTATACCACAGATTCTTAGAATATTTCAGTTCAACACTGTTCCAGCATTGAATAATATGTATCTCAGATGCAGCGGTGGCATTTAGCAATCTTAAGTGTCATAGTTTTAAAACCATCACAAGATCTGGTATAACTACCAGAAAACCAAGAAACAAAATAGCAGAACACACGCAACTCCGCTCAAAACAGTGGTGAAGTTTAGCTCCTGAACAAAAATATTAAATCCATACAGAAGTTTAATTACTCTTTTCATCTTGCAGACATTAATAGGAATTAACTACTCCCTTTTTCTTTTAAGGAAGTAGTGCAACTATTTTATATTTGAAATACTGGGAAAAGGGCTTAAGGGGTGACCTGCTCTAATCAGAACACAAAAGAACAAACAGTAGCCTTTAAACACATCTAATTGTTTCAGAGTAGTCTTAAACAAAAGTGGTTCTAGTAGACTACACAAAGAAGGCTGTATATTTTGATAATGCAAATGGTATTCATTAATTTAAATGCCATTATTACTTTAATAAGCGTGTATACTCAAAAAAAGTGAATTTATATTCTTTATTTAGTATCTCTCAAAGTAGAAACTGAGTATTTTGCAGACAAAGAGTACCTGAGAAAGTTTCAGTTCCCTTTTCAGCCTGTAATTCCTCCAGGCAGACTGAATTAATTGAGCAGCTCGACTTTCTTGCCGAAGATCTAGAAGCCGCGAACACAGAAATGATACATAGGTAATAACAACCTAAATAAACAGAACGCAACAAGTTAAGGGTTATACAGAAGAGCAGGACACATTCACACAAGAGCAGAACATGTTTACATCAACTCTAAAGGCACCTTACCTTCTCATCAGGAATTGTATTTGACATGTCCGAGTGATGAATCATTGCTGGTATTCCGCCTAGGTCAGAAACTGCAGCATTGATCAGCTGGAAGTTTTTCCTTTCATTGTCCAAGAGTTCCTTGTATAGGGCGGAGACATTTACAGCTTTGCAAAGAGAAAACGTTTGTCAAATCAAATTGTGCCTACAAGAAATGGATTTGACATGAATTTTTGTGCATCAAATAACTCACTTTGGTCGAACGTTCCTTCCTTAACATTTAGAGAAGTATCAGACTCTGAAGAGGATGAGGAGGAAGAGTTTAGTCCCACTGTATGGGTTCTTGAGCATTCTACTGTTTGAGTTGTACGTTGACACACAGCTTCCAAAGGCACGTAACACGGATGATAATGATGAATCAAATGACATAATACTCTACCATCTGAGAAACACACTGTGAAATTTTCCACCTGTTAAATAAAATACAGTAAGATACAAGTTCCCTGAATTTGTTACCAGTTAATGGCTATAAAAACTGGATATAAAATTTTTATCTTGCCCCTTTGAAAGTGACCAAGTGCGTTTTTT